CTGGAAATGCAAAATGCAGAATGGTCTTAGTTTGTTCTTGCCAACTCGACAGCGGACAACAGTCCACAGAACCGGTTGGTTCTCGAGTGGGGTGGTCTTTGTTGGTCCTCATTGACCCAATAAATTTTGTGTACAGGAGCATAAAATTCCGTAAATGAATAATTTGATTGCAGCACAATCCATAAATAAATTATTTACATAAGAAGGTATAAATACTTTTTATATAAATAGATTTGTGAACAACCCTGATCAACAGGGACGCCTCCTGTCCAAGCGCTGCTTCGTAGAATGAAAGGGTCTTGCAACAACGGCATGTCAGGCTGTCCAAGTTTGCTATGATCGCCACGACAATCACTGCAGCGCTGATAACGATGCCTGCAATGGTTCCAGTAGAAAGCTTACTATCCAGGAATGTTGGCGAAGTTCTAGCAGGTGTGATCGCTAGTGTCTGAGGTGGCGATGTCAAACTCGTAGTAGTCAGCCCCGCTCTTTCCAGGACAGTTCAACACAGTACTCGTGTTGTCTGTGTTCCACACGGTGTTGCGGGTCCACACCAAAGCCCCATTTGAAGTTAAAATCGTGGCGCTCCTGAATGAATAGTCGGTGTACAAGTCTCGCAGTCGCCAGTGGCCCCATACGAAGCGGAGTTCTCGTAGTCCGAGCAATCGTCGTTAATATAGTAGTCTAAGCCATGTACGGCTCACCACCAAAGAGTTCATCGAGACCCTCACCACGCCCGTCGTGGCAGCTCTCGTCCACATAGCCAATCAGGCTCTTGTTGGTGTCATATTTGGGAAAACAGTGGGAACCACTGGCGTCGACTTGGGATTGACAGTCGTTCAGTCTTTGAATAAAAACTCCAGTCGGCGCCCCACCACACGATTTGTTTTCGTAAATGCTCCAAAATCGATGTATCTCTGACATGAAAGTAGAGAGCAAACCCGAACAAGCGTTCAGCTCCACGTATACACGTCGCTTCTTTTTGAAGAGTGCGCTCAACTTGATGAGAGGCACTCGAAGAGCGTCTGATCGAGTCCATGATGGACCTCGGAGACTCTTCGGGAGCGGTCCTGGACCTCAGGTTTTTGGCTGGACCTCAGGTTTTTCGCCGAGTTCAATGTTACAGTAGCGGTTAGTACGTGAGACCGTTGACTGGTTCAGAGGTACAGAGTCAATCACCGAAGCAGCTGTCGGATCACCGTAGCATGCCCACAGACTATCAAGTGGGTCATCTATTAGATGACCCAGATGATCTATATTGGTTGGCGACAGAGCAGTTACGTCTCTGTTATTAATGGACCAATTCCCGCAGCTCAGATTGCTGTCACAGACCTAAATCTGGAACTTCATCTCAGAATTTGTGAAAGCGTCATTATCGTGAACACAAGCCATATCGAAGCCTAATGCTCGGGGATCGTCGCGCGCGATAGTGTAGCATAAGCAACAACGTACTGGAGGGTGAAAGCGACCGATGCAACGCTCACCCAAGGCGTCGACGCTTTATACATAATGAAATCAACTTTGTCATGGCGTCTACGCCTGGCCTTGGCCTAGCGTTCCGTCTACACGTACTCTCATCTACAGGATTAGTTTGGTTTCGGCAATATCGACGCCATAGTGTGGTGGAGTGAGGTTCGCAAAATCACGTTGCGATCCACTCTGA